TCTGTGCCAAAATGGGTAACTAAAGTATTTAGTGTATTTAATTATTCCCTGCCTTTGGCAGTCAGTCCCAAATATTTTTACTGTATTTTGGTTAAAAATAATAATAATTACAGTTTAATTAAACACATTATATTTTTATCTGACAGGTCAAGGTAGTTGCAGCCTACTAAAAGCCATTTGGGGAATTTGTTAGCCTAAGGATCATAACTTCACATATAAGACATCGGGTAATTTTTTTCCCAGCCTTTGGACAATTGTTGCATCTTAATGCCATAAAACATAGCAATATTAATGTGTATTTGATCAAAATATTTGCAGAGTTTCTTCTGCAAAATGAAAAAAGCAAGCAACATCCCAATTATAATAATGACAATGTGACGATTTAGCAAATTAGAAAAAACCTTAAATACTTTAATAAACCTGACTAACAGAACTCCATAGATGCTGGAACCATAAACAACCTTACACTTCATAAACTACTTCCAACAGATTGTACATTGAAAAAGCTAACGTTTTTGATCTCTTACGTGGCTCTCTTCAGGTATAAAAACGAGTTTGATCATATTCAAAAGATCAAGCTTGTTCTTATACTTTAGAGATCGAAAACACTTGTATGCCTACGAAGCTATCTACTGGTAGTAGTGTATGAAGGGTAAGATTGTTTTACATCAAGTTAAGTAAATGATGTCAGTAGGATAGACATTTGTATAATTTAACAAAATATTTTAAAATTAACACTACTTAAATGCAAATAAAATTTTAAAAAATAATATATAGGTAATAAAATAATAATATTTTAATAAATTTAAATAAAATAACAAGAACAAAAAATTAAAAACAAAAACAAAGATTGAATACTTACTCACTAACATTTGCAACCTTCATGGACTCCAGTCCTTTTTCAAGCAACATGTGAAGGCAAGAAAGAAAAAACACAAAGAAAGAGGAAGTAGAAAATGAGCATAAGGTGCAGGTAAAGAAAAAAAAGCAAGCAAAAGTTTTAATAAAAAGCAATAAAGTAAAAGAAACCACAACCGTATTACTAATGTGCAATTTGTGTTTTACTCGTGCATAAATAGTTTATTTTTATGCTCTTTTGGCAATAGATACATCTTTAATTCTTTATATACATATTATATTTTATCCTATGTACAAAATATGATTATGAATTTATTTATATGAAATAATATTTACAGGCATCTGTCAAAAGTCACATTGCGACTTCTACAGTAATTTAAGAGGACAATGTTGACAAATGGAGTCGTAAAAAATAATCAGAAATTTTAAATTTCAGGTATGTAATTTGTATTAATATATATTATATATAAAATCAATATAGTTTAAGACTATCCATTTTATGATAAAATGTAGTCTTATAATGCAAATAGTACTTGAATATTTGTAAACATTGTAAACAAAGTTTGCGGTGCAAACTGACAGGACTAATGATAAAATCGTATTTTGGAATGTCGTATTCGTTAACTGGATGACGAATTTCAGAATCTGAAGAACAAAAAGCAATATTTGCTCAATCTAGCCTTATATTGAATTTATCAAAAACATTTTAAACTTTGATTTTGTTAACAAATGTTACTTCTTTTGTGAAACAAATATTCAATACTGAAATTTGATCAATAAACTGTTCTACAACCAAAAAAATGTAGATTAATGAGGAAAATTTTGTAAATTACTTTGATAAAAATTAATTCTTAAAGCAATTTTCAATGTCGGTAATTCAACAAACTGAAAGATGTCAATTTAATTTGCGTGATAACTTTTATTTAAAAAAGTTAACTAAGTAATTAAATATATGAATTTGATATGAATTCTAAATATATATAATATATACACATATATATTTTTTTAACATTTAAATCTGTATACATTAATCACACACTTTTAATTTAAAACAAATGTCAAATTATCTTATATAATAAGTATAAAATAATTTATATTTATATGTAGAATCATCTTAATGCAATTTCAGAAATGCTTATAAAAATAAACAATTATGTTGCAAATATTTAAATTCAGTCATAAAATACTCCGCGGAAGCTGGCATCTACAATTGTCTGTAAATTAATTAATTGAATATGAAATGAAAATACTTTGTGCATATTACACACAGAACATGGATAACAAATTATTATTGAATTTAAAAAATATTAAGCACTTTATTTAATAAATGGAAAGTATTACTCCTCATTTTTTGTGTTTTTCTTACAATAAATACCAATTAAAATTACTTCACTAGGTATTTATTAATTTCTTTGTTCACTTAAATATACATTGAGGTTCAATTTATGAACTAGATAAAATTGTTTCAATGAATGAGTGATAGATATTCAAATTAAACTATTAATTCTTTAAAATGCGCATGGAATTAATCCATTAAATTATCAATTACAGGTATATATACATGTGAAGATATAGAAGTAAAGGAATGGAAGTTAAAAGCACTTTAAGCTTTCAAGTAGAGGAAGATATTAGTATATTATGTATATTATAGAATACCCAGCAATTAATTAATTACACACAGCTTTGATTTTCTGACTCGTTTTAATTCCGATACGTAATTGTAATAAACTATACTCCATTTTTAAATTATTCACTAAAATAAAATCACACTTATTAGCTTTCGGGAATCCATTTTTTGACTCAAAACTACTAAATGTGATTAACTTATTTTAGTGAGTTAACTGTAATAATTTAGCATTTACTATCCATTATATTGTCATCAAATAACAATTAATACAACAAAGCATGAATTACAGTAAAACCTGTTAAAGAGATCACCTTAATATATTAAATATGAAACGATCTTGTAAATAATATGCAAATTAGAATTATTGTTATACATTATTAACTAATAGACAAAATATTTTAATAATTTTTTAAAAATTTTGAAAAGATTAAATTTAATTCAAAATATATTTAGTGTCTTAGTTTTAGAACAACAAAAATTTAGAAAATATGCTTCTAAAGATCATTATATTCGCATCCAAATTGAGTGAATCAATTGTATTCAAGTGAAAAGATTTAGCACATTAACATTAAGTATCTGTTTTTATTGAATAAAATGTAGTGTGTAAATAAACCATTTATAATTTGCACAAGAAAAGTATAATAAAAACCTACATTTCTTATTAGAAGATATTTTTTGTATGTGTAAGAAAAATTTTTATATATCAAGATTAAAATAATTTTAAAACCTTATGTGTGTGTAAAAGCATAAAAGACCACCACATTAATTTATTGAACTATTTGAACATTCACCATTTAACAGTAGGGATATGTTCAGAGAAATGTGTCATTTAACAATCATTTACTTAGACAAACCTTATGTGGTATTAGTCCATTACAGGTAAGCTATATACTATATATGTGACCATTAACAAATTAAGTATTTATTTATCTGAACACAGAAAAAATCCACGAGGCTATGAATTTTTCAGTTCCATCATAAATTCTACAAGGCCTACATTATACTCATATACACAGTCCACCATTAAACAGATCATCATTAAGCATATCTATACTTAGAATTGTGCAAAAACATCTTGAATATTGATGACAATATATAAGATTAAAATCTTTTCTATAATTATCAATGTCTATGAATCATCAGACTAGAAATTTTATCAAATAACTCGCATTTTCAAAAATTTAAACTTCATAAAAACTGGTATCAAAAGATTATAAAATATAAAAAGTAAAAAATATTATAAATTTTGGATATAAATTACTAAAAACAAACTATTAAAATTTGGCAAACTTCAGAGTATTATATACAACATTAAAAATAAAAATATATTAATTTTTTTTTAATTTTTACATCAATTATCAATTTATTAATATAAAATCAACTGGCTTATGTAGTTTATTATATAATGCAAACAAAGTAATTTCTTCAAATTTATTAAATTATATTAATACTACTAGATAAAGATAATTTAAAAGTATGCAAATATTTTAAAACTGAGTAATCCTATTGTTACTATGTTAGACATTGTTTCCTATAACAGTTTAAAACAAACTTATGGAGAATTTCCTTTTTAATTCTTTCTGCAGCTGTTTGTGCAATGTAGGTACGAACAGTTGTTCTATACAAACTGTAAGCACATTGAATGTTGTGGCTCCGAAGCTGGAATTAAAAATCAAACATGCTTAATCTAAATAAACATCCCGACTCCTTCGACCGCTTCATTTTTGTTAATACTCGGAGAGTCATCTTTTCTGTCTTTGAATGTTAGTCTTCTTAGTGGGAAAATCTCCAATATAAAATTTTTAATTGGAAATTATTATAGAACAAATTTTACATCTGAACACGAAATATATAAAATAATCTAAAGATTTGTATATATTAAAAAATGTCCATTTGTCAGAAGATTTCACTCATTCTGGATGAAAGTTTTTTTATATATTGTATACTAGAAATTGCATAGAAATAATTCTGAAATGTTTATAAACATGTGTTAATGTGCACTTGAATTATAATTTCATTACCATTTTTTTTTAAATATTATCTTTTGTATTCCTGGAATACTGTGTTGCTAGTCGGTTCACTTATTACATCCTACAGAAAAATATATATTACTACCTCAAATATATTATTCCATTTTACTATTATTTTAATAAAGAATTTTGTTCAACATAAAATCTAAAATAATTAAAAACAATGCAAAACAATTTATGATCTATAATACAATGTGACAACAAATAAATTTAATAAATATATATTTTTTTAAATTTTAAATTGTAAATAAAATTCAAGATCTATGCAAACAATAAACTTTTTAAATCACCAATTATACTTTTATATGGTAAGTCCCTATATAATAAAACAAAAGACTGCTAAAATTTAAGCAGTTGTTCTGGAGAAGTGATCGTCCGGAGAGGTTTTACTGTGTTAAATCTGTTTGCTTATTTAAAATTCTGTGATTAGAAGTATTTAACAAGCTGTGTGTATATTTAGGCAAAGTATTGCATCAGCTACTTACAGCAATAAGAGCTATGCCAGCACACTTGACAGAGGATTTAGGTTTGTAGTCAAAGTGCATGCTAAGTTTGGTCGACACTGTCGAATGCATGTCGTCATCGGGGGCAGTATCTGCCTAAAATAAAAATATATTTTAAAATTTGAAGTGGCAAAAACATTATATTTTATAATTAATGTAGTTATAGTAATATAAATATTCCAAATGTGCTACATTACATATTAAAACCAACACACACATATATTTAAACAGTTTATTAATATATATTAAAATGATATTTTAAAAATTATGAAACTCAATAAAAATGAGAATTACAGAATTTATTCTGTCACAAACCATTTTCATAAATTATTTTCTAATAGTCTGAACAAAAAATTAATTACTTATAATTTTGATCTTAATTATGTAAACTAAATCGATATAAAAATCCTTATTAGTACTTCATAAAGGTTAAAAACTAAATTTAATTTTGAAATAAGTTTAGTATTTTAACATTGCAGTTTATTTTTTTGAAATATAGTAGAGCCTCGATTATCCGACCTCCGATTAACCGACACCTCAGTTAACCGATCGTCCTAGTCGGCAAATTTCAAATGTCCGTTAGTGATGTGGCGCTACAATATTTGGCTATGTCTTGGCTACTTTAATATTATTTTTACGTGTTTTAGCTGGCAACACTCATTCGACCATGAAAGGGAGCCAGTATTTAAACAAGGCTTAATTTTCTAATTTTTAACGATACAATAGCGACGATTATTATTTTAAAAAATTTTTGTTGGGCTTAACATCGATAAAAATTCAACACGAAGTAGGTTAATAGCGATATACTAATATACTAATTACATGGGATATAATAATACACTACACTAATAATGGATTTTTTCATACTTTTTGGTTATCTGACTTTTAATTTTCCGACCAACCCCAGTCTCCAATTGGGTCGGATAATCGAGACTCTACTGTACAGTCAAATCTACTTAAACCATAGCTATAACACACATCTTGCTTATAACGTACAGTTAAATTATCCCGAATTTTGCTCCACTGAATTTACGTAGGAGTAAAAAAAAAAATTTGAAGTACAATGCTGCAAAGTTTAAGTTTAATATTTAGTTATTTAGTAGTAAAAATAACTTGTTATAGAGTATTAACACTCGCAATATAAACTTTTAAAGCTGACTGCCTTAAAATGAGAATCAAGGAATGCAAGTCCATGATAAGGAAATGCCAACCGGTCATGGCATTAGCAGTATATACAAAGACAAAGTCAGTAGAAGTGAACCTGCAAATATATGTAAATCATCACTTAAAGACAGATGTATAAACTATAAGGTCTTCGTAGCTTTTTCTTATGCTTAGAGATTTTCATATGAAATCTCTTAACAGATTCCACACAGCTTCCTTATGTTATTTTGTTATTCAGCTTGATAATTTCACTTACTATTTTTTTATTGTTAGGTTATTTTGATATAATTTTGTGTTGTAGTTTAATTAGTCATTAGATCAATCTTTAAAACAACTTATTTTTACATTGAAACAAAATTGTGACAGTTTTTAAATGCAACTAAATCATACATTGTGTGTCACTTATTTAGTTACTTGTGTACTGTACATTACTATTGTTTTCTTCCTTTTATATACAGGTGGATTTCTGTATGGTAATAATCAGCATGCCAGTTTATTTGGGGAATGCTGGTTTAAGTGAGGTTATACATCCCTCTACAGGAGCAGGTGAAACTCGCAGATGCCAGTTTCTTATTCTAAAATAGTGAAAATGTCAGCATTACATCAAAAATTACAATTATATGTTTAATTTCTACACTTTGTCTTCTTTCTAACAATGTAAAATACTCATGGAATGCCAAAAGTGCATTTTATGTTTATTTTATTGTAATCCAATAGGTAAAAATAAACATTTCAAATTTCACAAACTGGCTGCAAATTATCTCAGCTTATACTGATTAACATCCCCTGTGTGTGAAATTTGAGAGGAAGGTGTTATCTTCCAGGATCAGAGTAGACTGTCAGTGCAGTCCTGCTAATGTCAATAGGTCACTAATTGTGTTTCTAAATGATATTTCAAGTTGATAATGCAAGGACTTATCATACAGGAATGCACTTCAATTAGATGGACAAATCAAATCTTTGAGATAGTCATTCCGCAAGATACATTTCACATCCATCTCAAAGATTCGATTTGTTCTAATTGAAGTGCATTCCTGAATGATAAGTCCTTGAATTATCAACTAAAAATATTATTTAGAACATTACATTTTTACATTTACAGGACAGAAAGCTTGAAGTAAATTAATTCACTAATTGTTTTATTGATCTGTAAATGAAAACTCTTCAGTCAGTCAAATTACATTGTTGTTATTTTATTGTACTTGGAAAGATGTTCTCTTTAACATTTATTTAACTAATTTTGTTAGATCTAATTAATTTTATTTTTTAGTTACAGTTTAACCAGCATGCCGTGTAACCCTGGGGTTTCCAGCATGCTGCTCTCCCCTGGTTATATGTGGCGTGCCAATCAATCCACAAAAAATATGGTAATACTGTATTAAAAGTTTATTAAAAATGAACTATTTATAATGGTTTTGCAAAATTTTTTTGGAATATTCTCTTAACATACCCTTTCCTAATTTCTCAAAGGGGTAAGCCATAAGCTACTACCTTTTTAAAAATTAACACAATCAAACTTGATATAACACCCTCCTGAACATTGCCATTATTGTGTAGTGTCAGAGAATCTGTGAATGGCTCTTCTCCATTAGTATTAAACAGAGAACCATTCAGTATCTGAATTACTAAAAAAAAAGTACAATTTTGTGAAGCAAATGTCATTTTTAATCAGCAAAATCATGGGTCTAAAAGTCTATGAGGCATCAGAGGTTAAAATTTGACACCTCTTAGCACAAAATACGAGACATCCAGAAAATGTTTGGCTATAAAAAAGAAAAAAACAGCAAAAATATAAAAAACTTTTTAAGTAATTAGCCCAAGACTAGTTATTTTTCTACATAGTCACCATTATGATTTAAGTACTTGTTGTTGCATGACACTAGTTTTTTTTTTATTCCTACGCCATAGGCTTCTACTTCCAGTTTTTTCAGCCATTCAGCAACAACTTCTTTCACTTCATTGTCCATTCCAAAACAGTTGCCACCCAAAAACTCAGCTTGGGAAAGACTTGAAAGGCACTGGAGGCCAGGTCGAGACTGTATGGTGGGTGGTCAAAAATGTTTCAGCTAAATTTCCAAAGCACAGATTGAGTGGTCGCAGCAGAATGCAGTCGCATGTTATCTTTCTCGATTAAACATTAAACATCATTTTCTCACACTTACTTTGTTCATAACATGATTACCATACACTTCCATGATTTGCTCATGACTTTCTGCAGGAGAAACTTCCTTTGCACTTAAAAAACTCTTAATATTTTGCTCTTGGAAAAATTTTTGTATGCATTTTAACTCTTGACAGAACAGTAATAACAGCCTGCCATTGTTGAAATTAAGTGCACTAACACATCAGAAAACAAATTTATCTTGAATTGACAGCTATCAGTCACCTGCAGAGTGCTACATGCAAATGCCCTTTATTTTTTGGACACCCCTTGTACTTTACTCTTTCTAAGTTCAAAATTTTTCTATCAACATTTTTCTGTAAGAAACCTGTTTCTACTCAAACACTTCATGTCATATGATACACTTTACATATAAACAGTTACATTATTATAAAATGAAGTGCTTAATCTTGTGGAAAATGACCTAAATTTAAGAACAATTTTGATACATACATATTTTTCTAAACCAAATTAACAATCAATCAATATGAATAAAATAATTTATATCTGTTCTATTGTCTTATTTATTTAAACCACTTTAAATTGATATTAAAATAATATAATTGTATTATATTTATATACTTACTGCCACCCAAGGATGTTGTAGTATTTGTGCTGCTGTGTATCTTTTAGAAGGTTCAACTTCTAACATACAAGCAATTAGTTCCTAGAAAATTTATTACTTTTTACATAATTACAAAATAAAATTATATTGTATTTAATATAAAAGAAACAAAGCATCAATATTTAAATTCAATTAAATTTAAATCATTTCAATTGATAAAAATTTAATATATTCTGCTTTGAAATTTTACACATTGTTATTCTAACAATTCTAAGGCCTGCATTACACTGAATCAGACAAGACGGTCTTAGTCAAAACTGAATTATTCAAAATACTTTGTCTAAAGCATTTGACAGTTTAGCATCATACCAGATTAGTCAATGTGTGAAACAAAAAGCCAGTACAGGTATCCCTTGATTAACACGGTTAATTAATTCCTTGATGTTACTGTATTTGATAAACACAATTTTGATGTACACAGTATCTATATTAAGTAAAGATGGCTGTTAAAGCCTGCATTAATTAAAATTTCTGCCACATTTATAAAATAATTGCTGCAATTAATTTTGCACATTAATCAAATCCTGTCTTAAGCAAGGGATGTCTGTACTCTGTTGTTACTAAATTGGTAATTGTTTAATGGAGTAAAATGATAAAACCTGATCAAAATTTCAAAAACTGAAGGATAAATATGAAACAAACTTTGTTAAAAATTCTGCATTCCTTATTTTATTGTTAATACTTTTGTGGCACCTGCAGTACAATGAGATTATATATATATATGTATGTATTTCAAAGTCAGCACTATGATTTTCAAGCTGGAGCCTTCAGATGATAATTATTATAAATAAATAGTCCTTGTTGTATCAATACCAGCAACTTTTCATATCAAGTTCAATTTTGCTTGGATCACTACTTGTGCACTTGCTCTGGCTGGCATGCAACAGCCAAAGTTTGTGCACAATAGTCTGTTTGATATACATCAGACACAAAAACTGAGCAAGGTACCATCGTTCTTCTGACTAATCATGACTAAAACTGTCTCAAACAAGATGAGTAATCCAGTGTGTGGCGTCCACTTCGATACAATAGAAACACCATTTTATTCTGTTTCAGACGGTTTTGTCTTGTCTGATCCAGTGTGATGCCAGCCTAATACTACTGGAAGAGTTGACTTATAGATGAGAAACAAATTTAAAGATCACAGGAGAGGAGAATGAAGAAAACAATAACTTTAAAATCTTTGATTTCAATTAATTGAAGCGATTAAAATCCTACCTTGGCAGAATTTGAAATATCATCCCAGAAGGGTGATGTAAATTCATATTTTCCAGCAAGAATTTGATCGAAAAGTTCATCTTGGTCGTTATTTTGACTAATTCAAAATAAAGTACATTAATGACTTCTAAAAATCAAAAAATAAAACTAACAAGCTATTAATTTGTAAACAACACTTGTAATCTTTTACTATACTTATGTATAATAATTTAAAATTTGTAGACATTTTAAAATGTGTGTAAGTTACAGATTATACAATTATATATATTATAGATATAACCAGTTAACATAAAATTACTTTTAATTAGAACTATAAGAAAAAAATTGGAGAAAATGAAAACCAAACTTTTAAGAATCATAAGAAATTTCAAATAGAGAAGGGAAGAGAGAAAGAAAAGTCAATCCAAACTGAGACAAAAGGGAAGAAGTAGAAGTTAATTCAAAGAGAAGATAGATCCAAGCAATGATAAAAGAGGAAAACATTCATTTTATTTATTTGAGAAATGAGTTAAATGCTTAAGCTTGAGATTTTTCATTAACTGAAACATTTAGTTTAAACATTTACATTTGAAATTAGGCTTTTACTTTTAATTTGTATTTCTTTTAATTATACATTAATGTTATATAAATATAGATTTATATAGACTAAAACCAGTTTACCAAAAAGCATTACTTAATTCACATTTATCTATTATCTATTATACATTTACTTATACACATTATATTCCTTGTATACCGGTAACTAATTTTTTCTTTTTAAACTGTTCATTGTTTTCAGTTCTTAATTTTTTTAAACCTCTGAAAATAAATATTTGATAAAATGTAAATTTCAGTAAATTAACATAATAACTTCCCAAAATCTCACTAACATCACTTACATGTCTCAAATTACTTTTCAGGATCCTTCCTGAAAAGTAATTTAAAATATGAAAGTAAATATAAAAGTAAAATATGATAACTGCAACGTTTTCATCCTTCTATAATATTAAAATAAAATCACATAATGTAATAAATATCTCACAATCTAACAGAATAAAAACTCTAGTTCAAAAATCATTCTTTTATATCTTGTGAAAAACATTTTTCCTTTATCTGCCTCTCCAGCTTGGAAACTGTACATAATTAACAATTAAAATGTTAAGCATTGCCATAATTAGTATATTTTATAGAACTGAATGCCTCTTTAGTCGACTTTAACTCTCAGAAAATTAAACCTTTTCCATTTGTACAACCCGAGATTTCGTGAATAAAAGAATGGTATTATTTTTGTGCGCTTTGTGCCAACTACATTGCATTTAAGAGCTATAATTTTTAAATAAAATGTATTTTATTTTTTAAAACTTTCTGCCCTGTTGACACTAAGAAAATTTTAGTATCAAGTCCATTATAGATTCATCAAATTTTCCTCTTTCTGTAGTGGCACTCCTCTCCATCATTCTGGCTATCAAACTTGTCCTTTACCAATATAAAAACAATTCTGAAAATAATTTCTAACTTGACATTCTTTCATTCATTCGTTTATAATTATTCTTTTAAATTTTCATTGATTTTTGATTATTTTTATTTTATGTTATTAACGAAAAGATTGTTGTAAGTTAAATTTTCGTTGGGAGGTATCCGACATCATTTCTTTCAAATAAAATGGAATCTAAGCAAAACTCTTACAGGTAGATGAGAGAAATGAAAAACTACATTTAATTAAATGTCCATGATTTGACATTTAATGCGTCTATCCAAGTTGGATAAAATTGCACTATTAAACTGAATGTACACTTAAAAATTTCTAAAATATTAAAATAAATTCTATAAGGCATTACCTAACAAATGGTGGAAATCCACACAACAAAATGTAAGTGATAACACCCGCTGCCCAAATATCCACTTTAAGTCCGTAGCTGAAATAAATAAACAATTATTAGAATTTGATTTATAATAATCAGAGTAATTTAGCATTAAAAAGACACTGTAGGTATTGTTTTAATTAATAAATTTTAAAAAGAATAAAACAAAAGCTTAAATTTAATATTTGGACTTAAACTCTTATTTACATGAATTTAAGGTCCAAACTAGGTTTACACATCATCAATTACATGATCCAGCAATTCTGGTTTACTGTACTTGTCTGGAATAAAGCCAAAGTATCAAAAATTAAGATGTGGCCACAGGCATAGCTACCGTGGAACAGTTGGAACAAACTGCTCCAGGCACATGAATCATGAGGTTGCAAAGTTAGAAAGGGCAAAATAAAAACTTGTAAAAACATTTGTAAAACAATTTTTTCAATAAATAATATATACAAAAGATAAAAAAAATACTTTTTAGATAAATAAAACTAATTATAAGCACTTGACTTGTATATTTTCTAAAGCCAAAATTATGATATTATAAATTTAACCATTAATTTTGTCATTCAATTAAAACTTGATTAATTATTTTGAACAATTTTCAACAACTATTTTGATAATAGTACAAAGTATAATATTCAAATCGATTAATAAAGTCTCAAAAATGCTGAAAGATGCTCATGAAGATATAGAGAAATTCGTTGAGATGATTTTATCACTCATCATACAATTCCAGAACTTAGGGAATAATTGGGAGTTTGTTAAAAACAATGCCCTTAAGTTATCAGCTATATGGAATATTGAACCTTCTTTCCCCCAAAAAAAGATTGCATCGTGTTAAAAAATTCTTTGATCAATTACAAGTAGATGAACACATTAAAAACACTGAACAATGTTCAAAGTCGAGGTGTTTTATAAAGTAATGGATTTAATAAGTCATCAATTATTATTAGATTTGAATCCATTCAACAATTATGTACAATTTTTAAGTGCTTATCATCTGTATATCTTATCACATCATCTGATAAAAATATTCTGGAAGAATCAGAATTGTTGCAATTGGCATATCCCTTCAACATTAATCCTAGTTTTGGGCCTCAACTTCTATTTAAAATGTGTTTTAATACTCAGTTAAAAGAAATTACTTCTATATGTGAAGTTGCTGAACTACTTTTAATTCGCATCACAGCCTCAAGTAGGTTTTCTGACGCTACTGCAGCATGCCTCATTTGTTTAACTTTACCAGTGACAACAGCAACAGCAGAACAAAGTTTTTCAAAAGTAAAATTAATTAAAACTTGTTTAAGAAGCAGGATGTCAAAATACCATCTCAGCTCTTTGACTACTATATCAATTGAAAAAACAATAGCTTGTCAACTTGATTTGAAGAAAGTGATTGACCAATTTGCAACAATTTTGATGTTTTTTAATTATTGTTATGTATTTGTTACGAAACTACACTTGCATACATTTTGTCAATACAGTTTATATAATACATAGTAAATATTATCAGGTACTCCGTACTTATAATAATAAAACAAAATATAATACTTTATTTGTATTTATTAAATTGAATATCTTATTGTTGAAATGCCTTGAATCTCAAATAAATTGTTATTAAGTAAGGTTTTAAACCAAAATAATTAGATACATCTTTTTAAACTAAATGTTCAAAATAAATTTCATGATCTCTTCCGATAAACTATGGGCGCATTGATTCTACATGCTCCAGGGTGCTGAATACATAACTATGACACTGGATGTGGCCATTGAAAAATGAATATAAACCCTTTCAATGGTAACTTTGTTTTTGGTGTCCTTTCAGCCTTGTGCCGTTGGCTCTACATTCCTTGTGAAATAACTGTTTGAACTTACAACACTAAACTTGAATTACAGAATATTTGAAACTTACAGCACTTAAAATGCTAATTTACACATGTATATTTGAAAATCTGAATGTGATACAGTCCTGAATTATTCTGGATTTTCAATGCTTCACCAGAACACATTTGAAATTTAAACAAATACTCCTTTTGAATAGATCACTTAACACTTCTATGTGAATATAGCGAAAATTATTTAATACGTCTACAGTGGGTTCATTTAACAATTGGACAACCAATTTTAAACCAGGACAAAGTTGTCGTTTTGCGTTGAACAAGATTATTTAACTAGACAGGAAAAGTTGAATCTATCCAACAGTTTTGATTGACCAGCAAATAATTAAATTCTGGAAGGAACACTGAGTTCAAGCTTCAATTTAGGTTCGAATTTTCTGATTCTACTTTCTATGTAATATTAACTTCTACTTGAACAAACAAACAAGAGATATACCCTGTTTCAGCTAAAATTTCAGGGGCCACATATGTCGGTGTTCCACAAACAGTGTAAAGATCATCTTGAGATTCTACAGCTAATCCAAAATCACCAAGTTTTAAAGATTTGCTCCCGTCTTCATGATCGACCACCTAATAAAACAGTCTCAAGTTAAAAAATACAAACAAAACTACATAAAATACCAATAAATTACAATGAAAAATTTACTAACCAACAAATTTTCCGGTTTAATATCACGATGAACTATATTTAAAGAATGTAAATAACCAAGAGCACTTGCAAGATTATATACCATTCCACTTGCATCTCTTTCAGAATATTTGGTTGCAGAAGCAATTGCATCAAACAGATCACCTCCCTAAAAAAATTAAATTATTTTATTAATAAAGAATTATTTCATGAGTATAAAATTAGTAACTTAAAAGAATAACGATTTGGAATAAAATTTATGAAAATAAAGTTCAGAATTTTCAAACTAACCTTTATTAATTCCATGACAAGATATAACTCGTTATCTAAATCAAATTCTTCTAATAACTGAACTATATTTGGGTGTTTAACTTTCCTCAAGATTGCAACTTCATTTGCTATCATATGTTCCTAAGNCTGTTTGGAAATGCTAAGCTGATCTGGGATGTGTTCATTTTTTAAATTAAATTGAATCTATAATAACAACAGATACACAGACAGTTTGTTGGATACGTTTTCATTTATCTGTTGTTAAGCAAGAGCATTCAGATAAAAACTACTCAAACATTAAGTAATTGAACTATGAACAATTTTTTTATTAAGAAAATTATTAAAAGTAATAAAAAGGAATATTTTGAAGTAAAACGGATAACCAAAGTCATTTCTAGCAAAACATTTACAGTACAGTCCGAACAAGTTTTACGTGTTATATATGTTTGCTTAAACTAATTTGAGATTAATGAGCATTAAAGTATATATGAACAATTTTTTTATTAAAACACATTAAAATTAAACTTTTATTGGTCATGTTTTTTGAGATTGGATTCGGGATGATGTGGTATAGTCCTACGGTTCTTCCTCATTTGTTAAACACATCATTGCCATTATAGACAATATTGTGGAAGCTTCATGTTCTGGTATTGGAATACAAGGAAGCTTGATACAATAGTAGTTAAACACATAATTCTCTACAGTTAATAAATACTATAAAATATTAACATAATTAAGGAAAAGTTCTGCCATCTAGTAAGAGAAAATAAAATAAAATTCACATATTGACTGACATATTAAGTGAAAAGTGCTGATATCATTAGGGGATGAGTTTACTGATTTAAGTGAAGAAATATCACACATGACATTGCTCTCAAATCTATTCTTTCCATAGACAGACTATAGCATTTAGAAACACGTGTGATTAAATTCTACATTTGGCTATGTTTATTCGGGTTTTGGGGCGGGAAAGACAATGGAAGAGCATCCCTTAATCATCACTAAAACGTATTGTCATCACTCTTAAGTCTGTCCTCAAAGTTTCGGCCTTCTCTCCATTAGAAGTGGATGAAATTTGAGTTACCAGACTTGAGAACAAGACAAAATAAAATTAAAAGCATTTAAAATAAAAATTTTACAAAAACAAATCTTTATATCTTACCTTTCCTCTACATTTATTCTTATCTATTATTTTTAAAGCATATTCTTGATTTGTGATCCTGAAATTTTTATTTAAAAACATTTCCGTAAGAATAAAAACTTGTTTATAACCTTAAGAATGGTTTTAATTTAATTTCTACACCTACTTTTCTGTGCATTCGTGAACAATTGCAAAATTTCCATCTCCAATAATCTTTCCTACATTATATTTATCTGTGATCTCTTGAGGTAAAAATGACGGTGATGAGATATGGCCATTTTGAAACTTTGATTTCGAATTCTAATAGAAAAAATAAATTTATACTAAAGCTTTGTTACAGATTTTATATAGAAAAATTAAAACTAATTCTTACTGGAGATTTTGGTTGGGCTTTACGAGCAAACTTTGGAGATGACGATAATGAACTTTTTCCACTGTTATAAGGAGAAACTGGAAAAGTTTTATTTATGTTTTATTTGAAATAAAACAACTTAAAATAAATTAGAAAATAAGCTATAACTTAACCAATTAATTAAAAACTAGTTAACTAAGTATGTACTATATATAAAAATTGATTTTTTATTTATATACTGTATTTATTTGCATATAAGACAAGGTTTTTATCCAATTTTCACTGCTTCAAAAACCTAGGTTGTCCTATACATGCCAGTGAAGGATTCTTTTCATTTTTGTATAATTTTTGTAAACTGTGTATTCGCATTTTTTACCAGATTCTCATCTTCTTATGTTTAAAAACAAAAGTATTTTATCTGGGTCATTTGAATTGTTCTTGTGTATTGTCAGGAGTAAAGATGAATAGCAATAGGAAAAGCAACACTTTTGAATTCAATTGCAAAATTACACGAGAGTCCGATATAAGTTTTAATTCATTCCCATGTATAAACAGATGATTATTTGGAAATCAGAATTCGAAGAAACTCATAAGTGTAATTGACGAAGAGTGAATTCAACTGTTAAGAATTGGCAAAAAAAGGTTCTCGACTGTCCAGCTTTACATAAACAAATTATGTTGTCAATTTTACAAGATTTTTACTTGAAGTTTAAAATGCCAGTAATTTTTGCAGGACAATGTGTGCATTTACATGCATTTGATATTTTATTTGTTATTAAATGAAATAAAATTAGAATTGTATTAATAAATCTAATTTTCTTTATTTTGATCTTCAAACTCACACCTCATCCTATATGCAAGATCGCGTAGCTACATTATATTCGAGTAGCTACAGTATCAGATAGTGCACTGATACACAGTAGAAATTCTATTATCTGTCAGAGGTTGGAATTGAGTGTCTGATAATAAAATTTCCTTACCAGTACAGAAAATATTAATTTACAATCCACAATTCCATATGTACAATTGTTTATTTAGTAAACAGTGCACTGTCTGTCTGTTGCAGTACCTTAACTAGCATACACAAACAGAAGTTTACACACAGTAAAATTCAGCACAATATCCACTTCATTATGACAAAAACTAAACCTTTAATATCCAGCATGTATTTAGTTTAAACATGCACTTTCAACCAGTTATCTGGAAATTCTTTAACAGGGTCTTAAAGGTACCTAAGGGTCTTAAGGATCTTAAGGATTAAAGGTCTAAGGATCTAAAGGTCTTAAGGATCTAAAGTATCATGTATTTTATATAACATAATGCTGGCAACATTATAAGTGCTTATTTATATCCATAAGATAAACTTTTTTTTTTATTCTCTCTCTCCTATGGGCACTAAGAGGTTTTTACAGGTCCACTGTGGGTTTGGCCAGACCCACAATGAACCTGAAGGATAGACCACCCCTGAAAAAAAAAAAATTTTGATTTTTCGAACCATCTGGATTTGATCCCATTCTTCCAGCTAACAGCCTCAGCCATTCAATCTATAAGCCACAGAATATACTTACTGATTACACTAGATATGGTCCTTATATCTAGTGTATATATATATATATAATATAAATCTAGTGTATTACAGTAGAGCGCCGTTTATCTGAATCAATTGGGGACTGGGGTTGTTCGGATAACTTATTTTTTGGATAATTGATTATGTACAAAAAAATATATTAACCTATCCCGTGTTGAAACTTTTCTCCATTGCGTGTCGCTTCGCGTTGAATTTCCGTCGATGTTAAGCCTAACATAAACTTTTTAAAATAATAATCGTTAAAAATTATTTCTGTATTTTTTACAAACAAAATAAATATATTGAATAATATAAAAACCAAAAAATATATACTTTAGAAGTTGATCTAGTATCAAAAACGTTCGATTCAGCAGAACACACAGTCCTCAGAAAAACACCACACAAAAATGCCAGTGCTGCCAGCTAAAACACCAACCAAAAAAAAAAAAAATTGGAGTAGCCCAAGATATAGCCAAAGATTGCAGTGCCACAGCACTAGCGAAAATTTAAATTTGCCAACTGGAATGCTTTCAGTTAACCGATGTTTCAGATAAACGACGCTCTACTGTATATCTAATGTATATATAATACAAGTCCATGAACTTTTGGACCCTAAGACCAGAAATTGTTAGAGTTGCAATGCTGAAATACATCATCCTCTAAAATAAGTCCTCCTTACCAGAAACACTTACCAGTGGGTGTAGAAGACAAGGAAGCACTTCTTGAAACTTTGAAATATCCTTCAGTTTGCATCAGTTTGATGTTTTTCACTTATTTTGCACTCAAAAATTGACAACCCTGAAGTTGATGTGCCAGCTCAGGAAACAGGTGGAAGTCTTAGGAAGCAAGCAAAGTTAGGTGAGTATGTGGAAGTGAGGAGACTGCAGTACTTGTTTTGATGAGAAAAATCAAACTATGAGCAACCTGTGAAGAGGAGTATTGTTGTGTAACAGTACCAATGATTGATCAACCCACAGTTGATGCCTCTTCTTGTGGCATCAATTCATGCAGACATTACATGATGTCCAGATAAAGCTCCTTGCTAACAGTGTGTCCTTCAGGAATAAATTCAAGATAACCAAGGCCCTTGATATCGACAAAAATCTCTAGCATAATTTTTGTCTTCACTGAAATTTCAGTATTGCAAGATGACGACAACTTCCACAAAAGCTGATACCTACTTGGTCTGGAGGTCAAACAGAATGCACCAATCTTTTTATTTTCTATTATGATTTTGCTAAGAAATTGCAGGTCTCTGTTGATCACAACTGTGAGAGTGCTTATCATTTCCATCCATACAGACAACTAGTCTTCCATTTGCATGTGTGGGATGATGTGTTGATACACAATGCATTTTCAGATCCTCTGCCCAAATCCACTGACAAGTAGTCAGCAATATCCCAGCAGGTTCAGTTATTTGCTCAATCATCCATTGTCTGTTAGCACATACAATTGTAGCAACCTTCAAAATATTTTCATTAGAACATGCTACCACTGACTGCCCAATACAGTCATCATTTCAACATCTTCCCTGCCTTCCTTGAACTATTGATGACAATTGACCACAACAGATTATTATTGCCATAAACCTGCATCAACATGCAAGTTTCTATCGGACCTTTGTCCAAACAAATGCAAAACAATGTTAACATGCTGCTCAATAAATATATGTTCCCATATGAACATAATCCCAGAACTTTTGTATCTTATTTTGTGTACAGCCGACCCCCCTATAACACGGGTTCCTATAGTTCAGATTCCTATATCACGGTGAAAAAAGTGCAACACGCTAAAAAACTCCTATAATTTGGTAAAACATCATCGCCAACTCATGTCGCGACAGGATTGGTTAAATCTAGACCAATAGCGGATATTGCACAAACCTTGAGTTTGAACGAGCAGCGGACCTACTAAAAACCATTTATTATTTAACGTCCATAAAAATTATATTCATATTAATGATGTCTCCAAAGTTCAGCAAATTTTTCGCAAAAAAAAAAAAATTTATCAGGAAGCACGTGAGCACCATTCAATGACAAGCTCCATGACGAAAACAAGCTTAAGCAATGGCGTGGTCAAACTGTGCACACTCAATAAGTAATCCTACAATTTTTTGTTTATGGCATAGTTTATACGGATTATTCCCAAAAAATTATATGTATTTTGGAAATGTTGAGTCAAATTAGTCTAGAATCGATTAATTTTATGGAATAAACCTTTCAAACAGCCATAGTCTGTAAACTGCATACGTGCTGGGCTGTGATTGGCTGGACTTGTACAAAATGGATTCATAAAAACTGGAATGTATCTATTGTGTTATAGGGGGGGAGTCAACTGTATTTACATTATTATTTTTTTGTCACTTGATTTGTTTTCTCAATTTGCTTTTTAAATATGTGATTCAACATAATATTTTGAATTAAAATTTTTTCTATATCACATTGTATCAATGTTCTGGAAATTAGTATTTGAATAGTAACCCAAGGGTGGTTACTAAAAAACTCAATGCATTTGTTTCAATTAAAACCTGTCTGCTGGATATTAAATGCTTATTTTTATAGTAATACATAATTAAATTTTTAATTGATCACAAAAACTTATTATTTAGAAAATAATAAATCATAAGAAATGACAAAGCAAGAAAACAAAATTTAAACAAATTTTTCATACTTAACTGCATGCTTTGTACTGTATGAAATTCCATATACAAATTAAAACATTACATCAAGAATTACTTAAGAATAATAATTTAGCTAATGAGTTAAATAGGATTTATGTTTAAACTAGTGAAAAATATTAAAATAAATTTTACTGTCAGATGGAAAAACAGGCGACGATGCTCTTCTTCGTGAAACGGGAGACTGAGAAGGGACAGGTATGTGCTGAAATTTTTTGTTTAAAATTGATCTTGAAGAGCCAGTGAGATATTTGCATTCTAAAAATGAAAAAATTTATTTTAATAACTGTTATTTAAAAGGTCATCTATAGCATAATATAGCTTTTACAGTAAACCTTTGATTGAATTCATCTTTGTATAAAAAATACTTTGACAAAAGTATCTTTTTGTACAACTTCCCTTCTGAGGCATATTTTATTAATATTAGTCTATCATATATGAAACAAAAAAGTTATTGTAAAATTCATTACAGTAATACCCTGAGTTATACAAGTAATGTTGACCTTTATGTAAGTTGAATTTGTAAATTGCTTAAGTGTAACTACATAATTAATAACTCAATATTGTATTTATTATTATATGTGTACTGTACATATATTATTATTATTTTTTTGTCACTTGATTTGTTTTCTCAATTTGCTTTTTAAATATGTGATTCAACATAATATTTTGAATTAAAATTTTTTCTATATCACATTGTATCAATGTTCTGGAAATTAGTATTTGAATAGTAACCCAAGGGTGGTTACTAAAAAACTCAATGCATTTGTTTCAATTAAAACCTGTCTGCTGGATATTAAATGCTTATTTTTATAGTAATACATAATTAAATTTTTAATTGATCACAAAAACTTATTATTTAGAAAATAATAAATCATAAGAAATGACAAAGCAAGAAAACAAAATTTAAACAAATTTTTCATACTTAACTGCATGCTTTGTACTGTATGAAATTCCATATACAAATTAAAACATTACATCAAGAATTACTTAAGAATAATAATTTAGCTAATGAGTTAAATAGGATTTATGTTTAAACTAGTGAAAAATATTAAAATAAATTTTACTGTCAGATGGAAAAACAGGCGACGATGCTCTTCTTCGTGAAACGGGAGACTGAGAAGGGACAGGTATGTGCTGAAATTTTTTGTTTAAAATTGATCTTGAAGAGCCAGTGAGATATTTGCATTCTAAAAATGAAAAAATTTATTTTAATAACTGTTATTTAAAAGGTCATCTATAGCATAATATAGCTTTTACAGTAAACCTTTGATTGAATTCATCTTTGTATAAAAAATACTTTGACAAAAGTATCTTTTTGTACAACTTCCCTTCTGAGGCATATTTTATTAATATTAGTCTATCATATATGAAACAAAAAAGTTATTGTAAAATTCATTACAGTAATACCCTGAGTTATACAAGTAATGTTGACCTTTATGTAAGTTGAATTTGTAAATTGCTTCAGTATAACTACATAATTAATAACTCAATATTGTATTTATTATTATACATGTACTGTACATATATTATTTATTATTTTTTTTTGTATAATTTGATTTGTTGCATTTTANATGTATCTTTTTAGCTTTCTCGCAAATAATTGCTTCTGATACACTCGCAACAGTTAAATCTCGAACATGCATGCCATCTTCATATTTCTCAACAATCTCTTTTTTCAGTTCCATTGTGATTCTAGTCATTTTTTTATTTTTCTGTTGCCTTTTTGCAATTCATGATTAATAAAAATAATAATATTTTACTTACAAATTAAAATAAAAAGAAATTTAACAAAGTTATAAACTGTGGCACCACGAACGTCTAGTCTGGTCTTATACACCGATAGTGCTACTTGTTCGTAGATGGCGTGTATAATTGAATTAAGTCATATACCGAACAAAAGTCATATACCGAGCAAAATTTGTTTCGTCCAAACAGGATGTATTCCGAATTGGAAATATTCTAAAGCAGATATATACCGAAATACCACCGTATTTTTAGAGTTTTTTAGTCTTACTTAAAGTTGATAAGAAAATTCACTTCATCATTTCTCCTCAATTTCAATGATTTTTGAATATCACAAATGTCACAAAAAAGTAGACAAATTAATTTTATTCTGATCATAATATTGTGTATAAATGTATTAGTTAAACCTAATTTTCATAAAATATTTTACTGTTGCAAATGTCAATAGTGGACAATAGATTAAGTCTTTTTTGAAATTTTAACAAATTTTACTTTGAATTGATTTGTTAAAATCAATTCAAAGTAAAATTTACAAACAAAATTTTTTCCAATTATTATTATTTCAGTTTCAGAACTGAACAGTAAGAAAAATAAAATATGCATACACACCTCAAAGTTAGTCCTGCAGTGAAAATATTAAAAAGTTCAAATGTTTTTGGTCAACTCCACAGACCTTCATCAAAAACAGATCCAGAATGGAATGTTCAAAGAACAGTTGAAATTTGAAATATAAATGTGTACTTGGTCAAAGAGTTTATTTCAAATTTTAGCTGTTCTTCAAACATCATTTTACAATTCAAACATTCCATCCTGGATCTCAACTTTTCCCAAAGAGTTGACCGAAAACATTTGAACTTTTTAAATATTTTTACTGCTGAGCTAACTGAGATTCATACAGATTTTTTTGTTTTTTTCAAATTTCACTTAAAAACTAAAATATATTAAACAAGTTTTCTGGTAGACGAGGCAATTCAGTTTACTTGATTACAATTTCCAATTATAATTTATCTTTCATTTCTCAAATTTCATTGATACAATATTTTCTATTTTTTCAAGAGAACCGGAGTTACAAAAATAGAAAGCAGTACTAGACAATTCATCTGTCTTATATGGTATTTATAACTGCACTGTTATTTTAAAACTGATATTTAAAACTGTAGTATTTAAGAAATGAACCTCTTCGTAAACACCAGAGGAAATACAAAAACCCTTTGTAAATCCAATGGTATGTGTTTACACACCAGCAAACGTTTTTGACCCCATCTGGGTCTTCATCAGGCTGCGTTTATGAGGAATTCGAATGCGTGTGGAATAGAAAATTAAAACAAAACAAATGCGATTCAAAATTTAGAAAAACAAATTTAAGAATTTTGCCGTTTCGCAAACATGATGTTGCGCATGCTTAACCATTGTTTCAGCACATGCATAATGTTCCATTTTTATTCTTAAATTTGTTTTTCTAAATTTTGAATCGCATTTGGTTCGTTTTAATGTTCCATTCCACACACATTCGAATTCCTCATAAATGTAGCCTGATGAAGACCCAGATGGGATCGAAAACATTCGCTGGTGTCTAAACACGTATCCTGGAGTTATAAAGGTTTTTTTGTATGTGGTGAATTGTAGTATTTAAAACAAAATTGGATTAATTATTGACTTTTAGAAGAATGATAGCATTTTAAACCAGTTAATGGGTCATTCTTAGATGGTGGCTAGTATATCAAATTTGAAAATAAAATTTTTATTGAAAAAAAGTGCATAACATCATACTATTTTAAATAAAGTACTCTTAAAGTAAAGTAAAGCATTGATAAGATTTTTCTTTTTAAAGTGGGAATAATATCTTAGTTACTTTTCTTTATTATATTTAAAAATACAAAGTAACATTTAAAAACTGTAAATATGTAACTGAAGAATAATTTTCTGCAAAATATAATTTTAATCTTCTACACTTATAGTCCCTCATCAGTCCAAACAGTGAGTCCGAAATGCATTTCCAATACTAACAAGCAATTATTTATTGTGGCAGAACTGCAATTTTTAATCGTATTTTAAATTTATTTAATTTAAATTATATGCTCTCCACCTCAAATTAGTAGTGGCTTACCCCTGTACACCATACTTTTCCTTTAACAATAGGGTCATGCCAGTCATGTAACACTTTTTGAGGAAAAATTTTTTAATTGAAATAACATGACTTCTGATTTGCATAAGTTCATAAATAGTTAATTGAGGCCGCCTGTCCCTAACTTTTCCATATCTGGTCTCGGCATTCATTTATCTAACTCTGTTTTCAAGATTAAGAAAGGTCAGACAGACTGATGACAGTGGAAATTTATAGGTCTACAATTTTTTTCAAATTGCATCCCAATAAAGCATATATTTTTGAACTTGACCTCTGACTCCATTTCATCACTTAACCTACAAGGTGTGATAAGTCTGTGCAATCAACCAAATTTAGGCTACATCAGGAAGCATTAACCCAGACAGGAAGCAAGAGTATTTACAATGTAAATATGAGCTTATTCTTCAAAAAAGGTTTTTGGAATAAAATCACACATTTAAAATTAATTTTACAGGAAAGTAGTTTTGCTTTTAAATTGGTGTTTTTCATATCCAAAAATAAAAAAGTGTCATAAAAGAAATATGAAATCAAGTTACAATTTCTTGCAAGGTATTCTTTTATTCTTATAGGGAGAATTTAGAAGTGATTTCAGGTCCGATTGTGGCACACAATAAAGATTGAAATTTTTATATCTGCAAGAAATCACTCATTTGTATGTAAATAACCTTTATTTATTTTATTTTGAAATATCAGAGTTCAAACAATGCTACAAAGTCAAACTGCATGTGAAGGTGAAAAATGCACTAAAAGCATAAAATAAGCATCTGAACAAAGAATACTTCTCAAATTAACAATAATTTGTTAAATTTCACCACTGTAATAATTAAATCACATCTATGTTAAGTAATGACAGTTGTTAAAAATACACAAACTTTCTGTTCAATCCAATAATCACCTTTACTTATTAATCATGCCATCTAGAAAGTGTGTGGAAGCAATGAAGTCCAACAAGTAACACAAAGGCTATAATATCAACAATTCAGATGAAAAAGGAATTTATTGCAAAGCACAAAAACAGTACACGTGTGGCAGATCTAGTGGCCATGTTTAAGATGAAGAAGTTGACAGTGTGCAACAAATGCAATTTTCATTTCACTATACAGTATTAACATATGCTATTTATTGCTTGTGTTTAATTTATTATTAGGGCATTTAATTGTGTTACTTTTACCTTAAATTATATGTATTTGCCATTTTAAGTTTATTAAAACAGGTAATGTTTAGGGCAGTGGTTCTCAACCTTTATGAGGCCGTGGAACACCATTCATGTAATTTTTATTACACGAAGCATTAGCATCAATACATTCAAAAATTGATAAGCAATTTCATGTTTACAATTCTCAGGAAACAATGAAGAAATAAACTAATAAACTTTAATATATTGAATAAAATAGAAACATTGAATTATCTACAAAAATAGCAATGAGAATAAATTTGATTAAAAACTTTAAAATCTTTTCTTTTGTGAAACACTAGAGGTAGGTTTGCAGAACACATGTGTTCCACAAAACACTGGTTAATTTAAGAACCACTCATTTAGTGTCTGGAAATGGTTTAATTCACTTTTTGTTATTTCTAATGGGAAAAACCTCTTTAGACTTTGAACGATTCAGAGTTCAAATGGCCTCCTGGAGTGAATTAAATTCAAAGTACAAGGCACCACTGTTTATATTCCTGTTTAACGAAGCATATGTCCCTTTAACTTTTCTCTGAATATAACCTCTGTTCTTTTACAGTCTTGTCTGATTTTTGTACGTTTTATTGTTCTTGTACCCACATGTACCATAAGTGTCAATTTTAAGCATCATCTGGAAGAAAAAGCATAAAAATTAGTCAAGTTGTTTGTTTAATAATAGTTAAAGGATGGAAGACAAGAGAGTGCATATACAACATTTAATACTTTTCTACTAAAACACCCAAAAACCTACATGCTGTTTATGGAGCTATGCACTGTACTTACACCAACAGCATCAAATGATTTTCTCATTTCAAGGCTGGTAATTTTTCTCTGGAAGATGAAGAAAACTCTAGTAGCCATCTGTTATTGACAGCAATCAGACAGACACCACATTACAGTACTCAAGAGATGGCTGAAATCATAAATATTAAACAGTACCATATGTAAACATTTGAAATGTCTTGGTTACATCAGTTGCTGTTTGAATATTGCATGACAAACACATCTTATGGACAATGTCTCAGTATATAATTTTCTCTTACATAATGAAAATGAATTATTTTTGAAACAATTTTGGGAGATATATAAAGAATATAAAGAACTTTTGAATTTCTAATTTAATTTTAACCCTTCAAAAAACC